AAAAATGGTTGTGGTGAATGCCAGTCATCTTCCACCTCCACATACGTGCTAATGTGTATTTATTCTTAGTAGTTGTAAAGTTGTACAGAGGCCTGAGTAGTTCTAGTTGTGTGATGCTCTAATGGCATGTGGAGGCAGCTGTCAGATGACCTTGGGTACTCCCAACAGCTGCAGTTTGTGCACCTCTGCTGGACAGAAAGTAAAATTATTCTAAGTGCTCAACTTCCATTGGCTCATTGCTGTAATGTTTTTGAGAGAGCACCTCTTAAGGCAAGGAAAAAAAAAAGTTTTGAAAAGTTTGGTATTTAGTATTAGTAAGTAGGAACATTCTGTAGTTCCTTTTTTTTTTTTTTTTTTATGATCTTTGTTACACATCTCTGATTTCTAACATTGTTAAACAGATACCTTGCTTAGTAACGTTGAAGAGGCTTTCCTGTGTCAACTTTGCGGGTGTCGATAGTTTGGATGATGTGAAAAATCACACTTACAATGACTTGTTTGTGTCTGGTGGTTTTGTTGTGTCAGATGAATCTGTCCTTAATCCAGAGTCCATCACTACAGGTAAGTGTGCGCTTCCCGAAGCTTTCCAACACAAACAGAACACTAACATTTCAGCATACTCATTGCGGGGAAAAATTAAGTCTTCTAATTTTCCGGTTTTCTATCTTATTTTTGTGAAGGTTTTTTTGAGAATTTCAGCTACTTCAGTCTCTTTCTTACCTCAGTAGCCTTTTTGGAGAACATGTTTCTGGGGAACATGTGAACGTGGAGATCTTGTCTTTCTAAGTTTGTGTTGGGTGTGTAGTTATGTCTGTGGAACCTTTTATTCCTTACTACTCAAGCCACAAATACACTAGCAAAAAATACTGAAAAACTACATTTTTTCCCCACTTTTTCTTTATTTGAACTTGAATAGTTAACGAAGTTACCAGTTTCTTAAATAGATATTTCTGCGAGGCAGACCATGTAGGACTGAACTCGGCTTTTATGCAAGCAGATACCACTGTTAGGCATCCAGCCTACAAAAAAGCAGCTCAGTTTTGGATTATTGTTGTTGGCTAATCTGCTCGGCAGAAAACCTGAAGTACTAGACTGATGTTCACAGTTGTGTAACTATGCTTTGATGAAAACGGAAGGAAGCATTATGTTTATACTGAATTAGTATTTTCAGTTTGCATACCACAGAATTTAACTTGTATCCTGTATCTCCAAAACAGATAAATTAAAACAGTTCTTAAAGTTTCTGGAGGATCTCAATACCCCAGATGGGAAATGGCAGTGGAAAGTCCACTGCAAAATACAAAAAAAACTTAAAGAGCTGGGGAGGTAAGTAGTGTTCTTCAACTGCCAGTTGTAACAGTGCTTCAGCTTTAATTATGTTATCCAAAACTCATTTAAGTAGAACTTACTCTTATCTTTGTCTTTTGACTTAATAGTCAGACTGGCCTTAAATCAAGTATCTTTCTGATGGTGTGCTTTTTTCCCCATTATAGAATGAATGCCAATGCCCTCAATCTGCTGACCCTTCTGAACGCCTATCAGAAGAAGCACTTGGTTGAGATTCTGTCTTACCATAATTGTGATTCTCAAACTCGAAATGCTCCAGAATTAGACTGTCTTATCAGGCTCCAGGCTCAAAACATACAACAGAGACACGTCGTCTTCTTAACAGGTAAAAACAAAATCTATGAATACTTCTCTCCCTCTTCTGCTAAGAGGTGCTAAATATTAATTCAAAATCTCCTTTTATGTATTTAGAAAAGAATCTCAAAAGACTTTCAAATTATGTTGATAATGGAATAGTGGTTGCTACTGTTGATGACTTTATGCAAAATTTTAAAAGTCTTGTTGGGTATCTCAACTTGGTTACTGAAGAAAACAGCCTTCCTCCCTCGGACGCTCCCAAGAGACAATCAGGTAGTATTAAAAACACCCTTCTGCTTTCTTTACCTAATTAGCTGTGTGGGGGAGGTCCTTGAGAGAGGGTGCCTTTACTCTTGCAAATGACCACCACAGATAGCAAGGAAAACCCAACTCTCGAGCTACTCTTCTTTTTTAAATGATGGGGGATGAGCAGCGGGGATGGAGCACTGAAGGAGATCCTAAGTACAGTTACAGGCTAACCTGGCCTAGGTATGCCCATCTGTTTTCAGGGAAAGGATAAACTTAAGGATAGCTTTCAGAAAGCCTAACAAAAGGACTGAGATGTCAGTAATTGTACTCCTTTAATTGTGTAACTTCAGATGCTGTTTTGACATTAACCCCTTTGGAGCTGGGAGTTGGGATTTCCCAACACTAAACATGAACACAATGCGCAGAAGCTTTTAGCATCGGAGTAACTGGACACTCACAGAGGGTTAAGTGTGTGTGTTGAGTAAGTGAACAAGAGAGGCAGAAGACCAAGACTTAAGTGATATTGGACTTACACACCTGAAGCCTAACACTCTGTGAGTAGTGTATAGCTTTTCTAACCAAAGTTTGTATTTCAATAGAATAGGACTTTCTCTTTTTTTTAATGTAGTTCTTGTAGAAAAGGATGAAAAGGATGAGGAGGACATGTCTCTGGATTCAGAGGATGAAACATCACAAATAGAAATCTGCAGTGATGCCTCTCAGTATGATGCTCATTTGGAAGCTTTGCAGGCAGAGGCCAAGGGCTCACATGGAGCAGATGCAAAAGCCAGCTGCTTATCAGTTACAGAGTTATCTCCTGAAGCACAAATTGGCCTGATGGAAAAGACTTCTAAAACTGACTTGGAAGAGATACAACCAATTACTGCAGTTTCTACAACATGCTCTGCCGAAGGAGAAAAACATAATTCAGTTGAACAAACTCCTTTCAATAACTTCCCGGCTTACAGTAGACAATTAAACATGTCCCATCAATTCAGTCACTTTAATGTACTCACTCATCAGACCTTTCTGGGAACAACATACCCAATTTCTTCTGCAAGTCAAAACCAAGAAGGGGGCAATTATTTTATATCTGCCTACAGCCAGAGCATGGATACAGAAAAGTCAACATCGCCTGGTGGTTGGGATATAAATTGTGATTCTTCCAGGCCATATTCAAAACAGAAATAAACTCATGTCTCTTTTTATAAGTTGCTGTGGACTTTTCTGTTTCTAAAATTGTGGATTAACAATTTCTATTTTATTCTGGAACAAAAATGTTTCTTGTCCTTTATCTCAAATGTTTTCTTGTCTTATTTAAATCCTGACGGCCTGTACCAGTTTGATGCATCAGAAAATTTAAATAAATATATATTTTTTAACATTTACTGTACTTGAATGATCTTGTTTGTTGGCACTTTTAAGTTTCTACATTTGTATTTGACCTGTACCTGGGCTTCAGTTTGAGGTCTATTTTAATGTAAAATTGAATGTTTGCCTAAAATATGTGAAGCAAGTTTTTTTTAACTGTAAGAGTATCCAAATCACTTTTCTTTACATAAGTATCAAAAGTTACCTATTTATTTGACATTTGACACAAATTTTGTACAAATGTTTTTACATAGCTATAAGGCAGTGTAGTTATTTTACTGACTATATACTGGATTTTGGCTAAATACCTCAATTAGAGTAACCGATGGTGCAGTTCTATTACAAAAATAAAATAAACTTTTAATGCACAAGGGACTTGTAATACGTTGCATTGTCTGTGGTTTTTATATTGTTTTCCAGGTATGTGAGAAACACCCAAACTTCATTTTATGAATAGCAATTATCTTTGCATCTGCTTTCAATAGGCTGCGCTCACCATCAGAGTGTTCTTACAACTTTTATCTTGCTGTGGTAATTACTGTAATGGGAGAAGGACAAACCTGGTTTTAATGACTGTGGTACTTCAATTTGCATTAGAAAAACCTCAATCCTCTCCCACTTCAGCTTAATGATTACTGGTGCTTTTCTTTTTTTTAATTTTATGAACTACTATTATTGTAAGTATGGTTTTATCTGTTTCTTAATCTTGTCCTTTTTAGTTTCACATCTGCTCGGTTAGTTATAAAGTGACTTTTCACTTGTGATTCTCTCTGAATTGGCTGAGGCTTCTGGCAAGCAGCAGCTGATAGTAAATAGCTGTGGAGTCTTAAGACTACTGGTATTCCAGTGCTGGTTTTGCATATGCTACTACTCTTGAATCATATGTTTACTGCTCCTGTCTTCAAGTTGTACAAAGTCCTATTTTGGGGGGGTTTTCCTGTCTGTAATTTGATTGCAGTGGATTTATGTAGGATGTGTGGTGTAGGACCAGATGACAGTGCTTCAAACTATGACTCTTAACTCTCAAAAGTAGTTGGGACAAATATTACTGCTTAACAAAAAGGGTGCCTTTTAAAAAACAAATTCTCTAAAGTTGAATGTCTCTCCTATTATTAACAGTTGTTTATTTGTTTAATTTAAGAACAAACCAGTACTAGACTAGTGTAGCAGTGGCAATAAATAATCTTTTGTCAAAAAGGAGAACTCCCTTGTATCAATAACCTTAATGGAGTTTGTGAAGAACTGTTCTAGAATCTGCAGAGCACGTGCAGTTTCTCACCTAGGGCCACATTATAGCACAGAACAGCTAACAGGGATTCAGGGTGTGCAGCTTCTGCAGAGATATAGAAGGGAAACACTTTTACTAGCTTACCCTCTTTTGAGGACTAAAAGCAAATTAATCTGAAGTAAACATTTACTCCTGACTGGAAGATTGAATAGTGATGTGTTCAAACCTTAGTTTAAGGAAGTTTTCTTATAAACGAGTTCTACTGCCCATAATGCTAAGTGCTGCTATCCTGTTTTAATTGAGAGGGGAGGAAAAAGTTTATAGTCAGCATTTCTGTGGTCTTAAAATCGGGGGTTACTTCAGTTAATTGTCTAAGCCTAAAAATGATAGTTAAGTACAGGCACTTTTCTATAGTTAAAGGTATCAAAAAAGCCATTCAGAGTACATCTTAATATTTTTATTTATCAAAATACATAAACTGAGTTCTACAAAAACATGTAACATTTTTTATACTGTTTTGGTGGTTTACATTAAATGGACATACTCTTCAATTAGCATGAAGACCATTCTAAACAGACACACCATCATTAGTTTAATGTATCTTCAATATGAAAAGCATCATGACCCTGTAATCTTATCAAAATTCACATAATTTAAGTATTCCATAAAAAAGAGAAGATTCATAATTACTTACAGTAGCAAAGTGCTGTGCATTTACATTTTAAGAATTCAGAACATTCATCTGTACCTCTCAAAATGGCAAAAGAAAGTTTTCTTCTTGAGCTATAGCTGGAATCAGGGCACTCTCCAACTCCTTCTGCTTCTGCAGGAGGCCCTGAAATAAACAGAGCATAAAGATCAATGTTCTGTCTTCTTCATGGAGCTTGAACTAATAAATTGTTACTGTTTCATATGTTAAAACAATTTACTTAAGGCTCAATGCTTTTTAAATATACGACTTTAAGAAAAGCAGTACAACATAATACATTCAGTAGAGAGGGAACTCAAGATTTCCTGTCTTCTGCAAAAGGCTTGAAGTGTGACTGAAGGGGAAGCCAGTCCACTTTCCAGGGCTGAAGGTGCAGAGGAAAAAGGACTTTTCCATTGTTTTAAATTGCATTTGCTCATGCCTCTGTGCATTGTTGCTACAGGTGTGGTATTCTAGTGTATTTCTGTATGGAGCTGAACCCAAAACCTTGACAGCAACCAGCTTTTAGTCGTAACATAAATTATACTCTTAAGATAAAGGACAGCATTATCATTTAAACTAGAACAGTGTCATACGTTTTAGGATATGCATATTTACTCTCAAAAGGTAAAAGGTTCCTGCTTTGTTAATGGCCAACTACTACACAATGAAGAAAACCTGTAATAAAAACCCTCCTGGAAGTGTGTCCTTGTCTGTGTGATAAGTGATATACATGACACAGCTCTGTCCAGTATATTCATAAATTTAAAGGCTCTTTACTGTAATTAATGGGATTGTATATATTGATATATCTGGCCCCTTGGTCTCTATCCATTTTAGATGCATCAGAAGTCATTTGGTACCAAGGAAGTTTAAAACATAGAAAAAAAGAAAAGTTACAGCAGTATTTTTTCTGCAAAAGCAAAGGGTTCTCTGGGCTGCTGGCAGAGCTCAACATGGAGCCTACGGTACTCCTGGTGCCACACAAGGGGAGAGAGGTCCTGCAGAACTGGCTTCTGTTAGCAGAGGCCTGTTGCACTTCTCTTTGCATCCTTCCAAAAGCAGCAGCTGCCTACTTCCAATCACTGGATGAACTGCTTTTTAATTAATCAAAAGTATCTGCTATTAATGGGTCAGGGGGCTTGTTCAGTCCCTTTGTCAAGAATTACTTTTATTATAGAGTGGCTTTTGCATTTAGTAGCATATTACAAAACAAAGTCATGCAAGAAATTACCCTACATCAACCCAGAGCTGAGGTGAGAAACAAGTAACATTGAAAACTGGAACAAAGTCTATCACATGGCTTGCGAAGGTGAAAAAAAAGGGCCTAGACAAAAAAGAGAAATAGCTACAGCGGGCCAAGTAGTGAGGTCTTTGCATGTCCTTGGACAGCCTGCTGGGGGCTGGCAGGATCGTTTAGCCACTGCAGGCTACAACCCGCTGGCAAGTGGTTTTACTGCCTTAGTAAAGATAAGATGCTCTGGTATGTACTGACTGTAACTGGGGTTTTGTCCTTTTTCTTAAATTTTGGCCCTTCTTTTTCACAAATACTTAATTCACATTGCCAGGTGAATAAACCTGGGCTTATTCCACTGATTCTTTCAATTTCAGTGAGAAAAGTAAGTCTGTTGATAATTCCTATTACTGCTGTCACCTGAAATACAAGAAACCTGCTGTCTCGTAACAAATGTGATGCCAGCAGCCCCCTCCCTGGGGCAGAGGAAGGCCCACGTCTGCCCTCGATGGGCACTGGTGCCTTCCACGCGTCATCTGGTTCAGCCAGACTGGTACTGAAACAGCCCCTTGTACTTACCTGTCACTCTAGTTGGGTGTGAACTTCAAAGGCTGAAAATGGGTCAAATATGCTGCAAACTCCCCCAGAAAAACGATGGCTAAAGACTGGCCAAATACATTATGAATACATGTATCTCTCTTCTGAAGCTATCAATCCGATGTATGTGTGCACATACATAAAAATTTAGAACACAAGACTAGATTATCTTCTGAATAGAAAAGTAAACTCTGTTCTTTGTCTGAATTATATTTCATACAAAATACCGTGTTACTCTTCCTTTCTCTGTGGAATAACTGATGCAGAACAGGTGTCATCTGAAGGGGTATGCAATACTTCTTCGGTATACAGATAAAGCTAAGGTCAGTACTTAACGCCCTAAATGCATTCTGCAGCTGGTAGGATACTTCAGTGGTTTAAGTTAACTGTCTTCCAGAGGCAAGGTCCATCAAAAGACGAACCTTAACATTAGCTTTTAGCCACTGTTACAACCTGAATATACACTATGCATCAAAAATGTCCCTAAGCTCCTGTCTCTTAAGTTTCCCAACACAGATATTATCACCTTAAACCTCCTTTAAATATCCATGGCTTCTGTTGACCTCAGCAAGCATAAGGATCAGCTCATGCTCTGAAGCTGGCTTCACTCTTAACCAAAATACCACTGACAAATGAAATATTTAACAGTTGTTGATACTTAACAACAATGTTAATGAGCACTGGGGAAGACCAGATCCAGTCAAACCTACCTGGAAGCCATTAGAAACTAGCAACCTTTCAGAGCTCTTGGGTCACAACTTTCCTTAATAACTGGGGGAGAGCCTCAACCCTTTGTTTGCACAAGGAATTTACCTACTACTGAAGCATGAAGTACGCATGGCAGAACTTCTGTCTTTCTAAAGCACAGCAGGTAATAATAGCTTAACTACTGGTGGCTTTGATGTAAGATTCTTCCCTTTATTTTGATAATTTATGAGATTTTTCTCTCTTAAGGCAAAGAGCCATTCAAAACCAAGGGAAGATATTGATACATGCTTATCTTTAGTGTTCTTCAAGAACAAAATGCAAATCTCAGTGTGGTTTTTTTTTGTCTTGCAGTCCCCTGTCAGGCCATTTAGAAGCATGAATGGAAACCATGTCATTGTCCAGACCTGTGGTTTGAATCTGCTCCAGGCCACACCCTTGCTGACAACAGGTAGAGTATCAAATTCACTCATGTTTTAATAACTAGATGCCTGACAGTATTTTTCCCGGTATTCTGACTCCAGACAGGAAAAAAGGTAACTTCACAGTCACCAGCTACAATCCTGAGCTGCTTTTATCTACTGCAATGTGGAGCCTTAAAAACAGTCTCACCATATTCAATACTAATCATTACCAGTAACTTAGTACGAACAGAACAATGTATACAAACGTACACAGGCTTTTGCTTCAGGAGCTCGTGTGTGTGTGCGTGTGTGTGTGTGTGTAGTATTAAACTAAATTTCATTTTATATTCACTCACTAAAGATGGCTGATTGACAAATCCTGAATTTAACTTTTGCATGTTAATGAATAGGCATCTTGGAAGGTTTTTCTAAGTGTTCACAGTTCAAATTTGTAAATTACAGTATTTTTCCAGGACGAACACACAAGTTCCACCCCACTAACTCTTCTATGCCAACTACACTGCTCTGTTATGATTGGCTTACCCACGAAACACAGAAGTGAAATTAACATGGGTTCTAGTGTTTTGTTAAAATACTATTATTTTTCCCCTTGAAACTGAAACATTCTTACTCTAAGCAACCCTAACTATTCAAACCTGGAGGCTAAATAAAGCAATTCCTCTTGGTTTCAAGTTTTCTCAGGTATTTCACTGTTTCATAGCTGATCTAAGGACTAAGGAGTTCACGGTGTGTCCCTAAGGACAGTCCAAAGGTTGAAGTAATGCATGAAAAGCAAAATTAGTAAGAGGGCAAGTAGAGGAAAGGGCACAAAACTTAATCATGTATGATGGAAAAATGATTTAAAAACTGTGTAATAGTTTGCAATGTTCATTTTGACTTTGGTATATATACACATGCATGTTTACCCCATAACTTTTTGCTTACCTGGCGTAATTTTGACAGTCCTTTGAGAATTGCTTGTTGTCTCTCTCTGACTTTAACTACATCAGGATTTAGAAGAGGATCTCTAACATGATCAGAGCTAAAAATCTGTCGTGGTGCTTGATAAGAATCTAAAAGTAAATGTATAGCAAATCAGTTAAAAATACTCTGTATCAATTTTGCTTTCATTTTTAAGCAGTAGACTTTCACAGCTTGTGAAAATCAGGTGTTGGTTGCTATCAGATTGCAATCACTATTTTTAAGTCAAACAACACTTAGATTCCTAAACCCAAATCTATATGCAATAATATCTGAGAAGTGCATTCATACTTCATTAAAGCTAAACAGATGAAAAAGACATACAAAAGAGGTAAGAAATTTTGCTGCTTTTTTGGTTTTGTTTAACTACTTTTTTTTTTTTTTAATAGAGTATCATTTGGTTGCACAGGCTTTCTGTACAGTTCTATGACACACATGGGTTACTGCAAAATTCAGTTAAAACCAATACCAAATTGAACAATTTGCAGCACTTCAAACTAAATCACTGTAACATTTCTTCTACATGAATCAGTTCATAATACATATCAGTACCATTAAACTGTTGATACTGTGGGTCATGTGTTGAAGGTCTAGTCACTGGTGCATCTGGATCAAGATAATATACTTCATTTGTTCGAACATACGGAATAAATTGTGAAGAGGGAGGTCTTCCAGCTTCTGTAACAGGAGGAGGGGAGCTCCTCTGCTGTGTATCTGTCTTGATATTTTTCTCTCTTCCACTGTTGTGGTGATACACCAGGAAATTAGAAGCAGGTATCTGTTTTTGTTGTACTTGGTGTAATCTGTTCTTAACTGCTGGAACAGGTGGTGATTCAGATCTGTACAAAACAATTTCAGTTAAGAAAACCCCAAACAATACTTAAGTAACATGATTAATTTTCTCAAACAGTAGAGACAGAGAATCCTCAGATGACTGGACTTCTCATTTATTCTGCTTTTATCCCTGCAGTTTGTCTGGTCTTGTGTATTTTTAATAGCAGACAATTAGATGCCTCTACATTATTTTAAAATATTAAAAATCATGAAGAAGTACGTATATTTCACTATTAATGTATTTATACATTTTGTTACTGCAAAGTATTGACATACCTTTCTTCATTTAAATGATTCTTATGTAATTGTTCTTCCTAGGAGAAAACCAAGAAAGTGAAATAAAGTGAAAGTCAAAAGTGAAATAAAAACCTCCATGTTCTTCTATTAAGAGCTTTTAGTTTTCAAGAAAAATTTGTTCTGAAATTCCAAAAGGAGTATTTGACCTGGGTTCAGGAGAAAGATATTTATCAAAGACTTGCATTAAAGAGACTTGTAGTCTCTGAACTAAATCAAAGTTGTTAGAGGAGGATTTGCTCCAATTTTCTATGTGTTTGGCAGCTCTAAGCGCTATGAAAAATACTATGTATGTTTTCCAGTGACCTTGGAAACAGCCCAAAATAATGATTATTGAAGGTCATGTTTCTAGATACAGTCAGTAGAAGTCTTCTATTTAAATTAAAACTATTAATGTATCCCATGCTTCTTACGGTATCAGACAACGCTTACTCATCTTAGAAATCTGCTTAAAATTCATTGCTGCATTTCTCAGGAACAAAATTCTTGAACCTTTCGATAATGTAAACATAAAACTTAGATTTACCATTAATCTCAAACAGACCAAAAAACTCACTTTAACAAATCCTTCAATATGTGGTTACCTATTTTCACATGCTTTTTTTTTTTTTTTTTTTTTTTAAATACCCACAGCTTCTAAAATATGTGTAGGTAGCCACAGCAAAAAAATGGCTAAACAGAACTGAACTGGCTGCCTTTTCTACACCAGATTTTTTTCTATTAGGTGTGAGAAAGTGAGGTGTTCATGCATATATATGTATATACATCAGAGAGCAAGCAAGTGCGAGAAGAGGCGTGAATATATTTGATAGTATTTTCTTTAAACTATTTTTTTCCCGGCCACAAGCTGTACAGATACCTGCTTACTGCAAATAGAGAATGAAAGAAGAGATGAAGAAGGATACACATCTGTGACAACAGAGTAGATCCTCAGTAATCTGTATTCTTTGCAGATACTGAACAGATACTCCTAGACCTCAACCATCACCACAACATGATGACTGGACAAAACAGAGCAGAGATGGCATTCTATCCCACACACTGCTTTCAATCAAGCTCCCTAGTTACATAATGAATCAATGAAAAAGCTTTTACTTTTATTTCGATCTTCCAAAGTGTTGATTCCAAGTCACAAAATCTGAATATATTCTTCTGCTCATGATGAACAAAACAGTGCTGTAATACCATTCTTTACACAAAAGGTAGGAACAGGAAAATTCTCGATGTTTGTGTTACATAACTGAATTCCCATCCAGGCAAAACCATGTGAAAACCACACATCGTTGTTAAAGATCATATAGTTACCTTTCTGACTCTGTGTCCCTTATTCTTCGTATTTGTTTCTTCATGAGGTGAAGGAGACCTGTCTGAAGAACCACCCTTTTTAGGGCAGAGATTCCCAGGGGTATTTCTTTCTACCAACTGAAGCAGCTCCATTTGTCGCCTTACTTTGTTTTCTTCCCTTTGTTTTTGTAGCTGTTTAGGGTATCTTTCTGATGCCGGAATGTATCTTTTCCCAGGCTTGTTTATGTTCCAGTCTGGTTTTTTGCTGTACTTTTCTGAAGGTTTAATTTGTTTTTCTTTTCTTGCATATTGTTCATATAGATCCCGGTAAATACCACCAGTCTCTTTTCCTGAAATTTTATGTTTATCTATATACTGCATTTCCTTCTGGTGTTTTTTGCTGGTAGAGGTTTCTTTGTATTCTACGGAAATATCAGGTGACCCACAACACACAGTTCTATCCTCAGCTGACTCAGGATATGCTGAAGTATTAAAGTAATCTAAAAAAAAAATTTATATTTTAACTCCAAGTCTAAACTATTCAAATTACTTGACCTTATATGTCTATCAATCTACCAATTACTGATTTTATTAAAAATTAGTTGTTACAGTTTTATGATGCTTTTTTATTCTTTTTTATGTGCAAGATAGATAGGACCAGGAGAAGCAAACTCAGTAAGGACAGGAAAAAAACCCAAAAGATTGGAGAATGAAATCAAGTCACTGTAAAATAAAATGTATGTAAAATGAAACTAAATTAAATGTAGAATTCTATTTCTGTCATGGTACCCAAACATAAAGAGCAAAACAGACCTTCTGTTTAGCTTTTTTGGCATGCTGATAGTTTGGTCACATTCTCAGAGCTACTGGGAATAACCTACTTTCCCAACCCTTATCTTCCAAGGGAAATATTTTGTTCAATTTTTAAATTACTAACAATCCAGCTTCTTTCTTTACCAAGGGGCATACACAAACCCAATTAATTTGTAAACTAACTCTCCAAATTCACAGTAAAATTTCTACCAGCACTGTCAAAACCAAAAAGACTGTTACTTAAGCAAATAGAAATAAAGCTTCTGCTTCACAAGTGACAAGCTAATACACTTCAAAATAAAAAGCATAAAGTGACTGTAAGTTTCCACTGAATCTGCTCATTCACACCTCATCTTAATAATTAATAAATGCAGACTAAGTTTGAGCTGGGTTTTTTAATGGTGTGGTACAAACTCAAGATAAAGACTGGGAAGTATTCCACCTAGATGGACCTGCAATTCTGTCTGGGTATTTAGCAAGAACTGTAGAAAGCTCTGAATGTATGCTCTCATTTTCTAATGAATCTAGTTTTCTAATTCCAGAATTATTGACAACGTTTCTGCCAATATTTTCAAGGATGCCTTAGGAACCCAGCCCTGCTTGATACCAAACCACATTACATAAACCTGTGAACATTCACACTGAAGACTACTGCAACTACATATTTAAATGCCTTGATAAATTTAGTCCTACATGGCTTGTTACCATGACTCTAAGTCAAAGCTGTATTTCAGACTGTGTGATTTGACTCTAACTGGTAAGTAACAATTATATAGACATATGATTTATTTAGAAGAACATAGTGATCTATTGCCCATGTCTGTTTAAGTATCTTTTTCTACTTTTATTCCATTCTGAATGACAGTGATCTGGGTCAGTTTCACAAATATGCTGTTCTACTGTCTTTCTTGAGGTACATCAGAGTAACTAAATTTAAGGTCTGCATACCTGTCTGTACAGCAGTGTCTTTCCGAGGAGAAGTCTGATGATCATTATGACTCTTGATGTCATCAGAAAAATTATGACTTTCATGTGAAATGCCAGTATTACAATTTTCAAATTCTGTATCACCTAAGAAGTAGCATGTAAAATTGTTCAATTTAGTAATGTATGTTCCATTTAAACCATGCTATCAAGTTATAAGACTGTTGTGGTTTAGAACTCAAAGCAAGACGGAGAACTACAGTTCAGATCCTGATACTCTACCACTGGAAATCCAATTAACAGCACATATAGGTCTGAATATTCCCTGTGCATTCCTGATAATATCTTTATGTTTCTTCATTTATATAATATTGTATTTGAAGCTTACCAAAATACAATATTCTCCATATTAGTTAACACTGATATTTGTCTGGAGCTACAATTAAATTTGGTTCATGAAGCAAAGAAACAATTTCTGACCCAAGTGCAGACAGGGGAAAAAAAAAACAAACTAAAAATCACAAATAATTTGCATGCAAACATCGAAGGAGCTTAGGCAAACTCAATATAAAAAGACTTGTACTTGCCACCACCAAGATTCTTCTGAAGTTTTGAAATGTCGTGTCCCTTTTGAGCCAAGTCTCGAATGCGCTCTTCTTGTTTTAATCTCTGTGCTAGTTCTTGAGCTTTCTGCATTGTCTGATAGAGCTCATTTGTTTTGAGAGTTACCAATTCCTTTACAAAAAAAACCCAACCAACCAGTAAATATACATGATTATTTACTTTGAGAATAAAGCTGATCAGATTATTAATCATCAAGGTTTACATATAGCCTTATTTGGAGTAAAGTTGTTTTTTTTTTAAAAACCCAAATTAATTGAGTAGATTAAATACGTAACATATAACTTTAATAAAGACAAATTCAGAACCTCTGCTGTGCTAACGAAAGGTGTTCAAGCCTAGCATTAAAAAGCATCGAGATCCTCAAAGTTATATGGATATTTATCTCCTTTCTAACACTTTAATCTTTTCCTAAATTCCCTGATGTCAGCCATTAATGACCTCCTATATCATTTGGCTTAATGAAATAAAAGAATCCTAAATAAAAATAATTAAAAACCCCACCTTCTTCCTATTTCCACTGAAGGGGGACAGTAGAAGCCTCCGGGTTACAGTTTCCAGACTCAGCAGTTTCAAGGTGCAGGAGACTGGGTGAAGGAAAATCTCCTTTACAAACTGCTATTACCATCTCATCCTGCTTCCTACTGCATTTGCAGGTGGAAAGAACAACAACTGCTAGCATAACTCATTTTGAAGGAGCTGGCCTATTGCAGAGAAAGGTGACTTTCCCAATTTTTCACAAGTTTGTTCTAGTATCTACAGGTGGGTGCTATATGTTTCCATCCAGAATATGCAGAGAAATCAGGGATCCATATTTCTGCAGGTCTGCAGGTTTTAGAGAAGGGTGTGGTTTTGCAGTCACCCTATTTTATGACATCATGGAATTCTGCTACTCTTCTAAATATGAATGCAAACAGCATTAGCTGCTACTGAGCCAAAAGGAAGCATAAAACATCATACAAGGCTTTTAACCTTCTACAGAGGTAAGAATGTACACAAATGCAAAATTTGTACTTACCAAAGGTCAAAATGTACTTTTGGCTTAACTTTTATAAGAAAGGAGTATGTAAAGCTCTGCAATAGTTACAGAGGAGAAAGCTCTAAAACATGAATGACTTTTAAAATTACTTTTCCAGAATATATTCTGAAGTCTAATTCAGAGTGAAAGCACATCCAGTCAGATAAACTTCATGGTACTGAAGCATTGTAAAAGCATCAAGTTACCAACAACAATAACTAGATCCCATAATGTGAGGTATTTTTTTCATTAAAAATCTGCAATTAAAAATGCATGCTTCTGCAGTATTTAAAACTACAGTTCCATTTTTGCCAGTTCTTACTCCTCTTCCTGAAAAGGTCCCTGCCTTACATTTGTATGGCGTTATAAGTTTATTAACTGAGGAAATAGATTTTGTTTCAAATGTCTAAAATTCAGATAGATTTCATTTCAAAATAATAAAGTGACACAATTTTGAAGGTGAAGAACAAGAACAATTTTCCTCAAAATAATATTATTTTAAACTAAAGAAATTGCAAAAACTCACCTCCTTTTGTTTTTGTTTCAGCATATCTTCTTCAAACTGTTTCTGCAGATGTTCTTTTTCTCGTGCTAGGCGCTGTTCTTCCTCTCGTTCTTCCCATTTTCTCTGCTCTTCCTCCAGCTGTTTCTTCTTCCGTTTTTCTTCCACCTGAGCCATTATTGCTTTCTAGCAGAATCAGAAAAAAAGGAAAATGAAAAGATATAAGATTAAGGTATTATAAGCTATTTATTCATATACTTCCATATACATGTATAGTAATTGGGTTTGGACAATTTATTTCAAACATTTTTATTTTAATTTCTCACAAGAGAGGTAGCTGCCTTTCTTTTTTTGGAGGGGTGGGGTGGAAGAATCACCAGCCCAGTAAAACAGTTTGAAATACTCAAACAAAAGTAGCTTTTTAATGCTTTCAAAAATGCTTTTATTTTTCTTGTGAAGAAACTTACTTACTGTAAGGCAGAATTTTGATCTAGCAGAATCACAGTACAGGCTCATTACATTTATACTAAGACTTTACACTGTGCTAGAGACATCATCATGCAGATTTACATTCAGTTAGAATGCCACAGAAGTAATGTAAATAATAGTATAAAGTAGATTTAAAAACCTGAAGATTCATGGTGTGAGTATCTGTAAATACCAGTCCTCCTGATGACAGTGGAGACTGAAGAAAAATGCACACAAACCTACTGGAGCTCTAAAGTCTGCATTCTACATTTTTTGAGGCAAGAATTCAGTTACAGAAATGCAATAATCACTGTACAAATATTAAAGAAAACCCTGCAGAGTCTCACTGAATTAAATACTATTAAATAGTTGTAAATATGTAATCTGAAGTATAAAAGCCAAGTGCCTCACAAGATTCTAGTATTAAATCTCATACTTTATTCAGGAGACAACACTACTTTTCATCCTTGCTTCTCACTGAAATAGCATTAGACTTTAGAACAAAAGTCTACCTGATGTTCTAACTGTTTCTGCCGCCGCCTGTCTCTCTCTTCAATCTGTGCAGGGTCCAGGAGAGCTGTCATTGAACGGAGGAAACTATGAACAAAGAAACATGTAAGTTTTTAATCATTAAAAATAATCCTAAAGCCTTTCTTAATTACAATCAGTTAGATTTCAAGTAATACTTTTATACTGAGCTTATCCCATTGTATTAATTTACAATTATTAAATCCATTTTACTAAGGAATAAAGTAAGGTTATCTGCAGTAAATTTTATTAATGAACAATGGAAGCACTTGTGTCTTTCAAAACTGAAACAACCAGTATTTCTGAAAAAGGCAAAAGCCAAGGAATAAGATCCAAAGATCAGATTTAAAGACTTGTATTCATTTTTTTTTTTTAAATTTCTAAGGAAGCATCACAAAGTACTGGCTGGGAAGATGAATGCCTTTCCAAAGTTCACTCACCTGACTTTCTGATTGTGTTCCAAAGCACTGTTTTTAGCAGCTTTTTCTGCATTTCCCACCTTTAAGGGCATGAGGTTGCCTAAAGCTGCAGGTGAAAAAGGGTGAATAAAAGCAGTCAGCTCCTTAGGGTCAGGTGACAGGCAAAGAGTTTCAGGCTGCTTTTTGTACATTCCATTTAAGGGGTGCTGCGCATTAGCATTAAGGTGGTTCTTTAAAGAATCAAAATGCATTGCCCATCTGTCATGCTCTTCAGCCTAAATAAATATGAAGCAACAAAAAACGGAAATATGATCAATTACACTGTTTTTATAAAGTATCATTAACAAAACAGACAATACACAGTTTGTACAACTGGAACATTTGCAAAGCTCTGTTATGGAGCTACAATCAAGACAGTAGTTCCTTCCCTAAGTGGGAATACAGAAGCTTCTCTGTTGCTTAAAATGCAAGTCAGATCATGTATACTGCTGATCCATATAGTTGATCAGCAAAAATATACTGCTACTATATTTGCCGAAAAAAAAATAAATTAGGAAGTAAAAAATATTGAACAATAAAAATGTAAGTTAACATGGATTCAGGCTTTTTGGTACTGCTTTTTTGATTTATATTACTATTCCATTCCATAATTTTTCTAATAGTACTAGGAACTACTTGATTGAGAAGTCAGTATCCTGTCCACTCTGCCATGTTCTCCTCCTGTTGTGTACATACTCTAGTAACATGAAGTGGCATCTTTTACACTGTCCTACATTTACCCCCTCCATTTTAATTCTGGATGGCAGCAGATTTAATGTGCTTTGGGCAGATATTAACCTCTAACCTCCTATTTTCAGTAGACAGCCCTATTATAAAATAAGCCTTCTTTCAAAAACTCTTCCTCCCACAGAAGACATCGCTGTTATCCTAGCAAAGTACCTAAAACTTTTGTAGAGGTGACATACTGGGTTTAAGTCTCTTTTCCATACCACCCAGTCTTATCTTTGTGGCTCAGGGCTACCAATTGGAACAATCAAATATATCACTAATAAAAGATTTTTACCTAAGGTGTGTTTGTTTCTGCTATAGGTACTGAGAATGTTTTCTGACTAAAAGAACAACTGTTTCCCTGGAGGGACTGGTGGATGACTCCCTCAAAATTTGTATTCTGCAGGAAAAAAACCTAACCTAATCAAATCTAATAAACTTTGCAGGAGTCCTTTCCTTAAATAAAAGGCCCTTGTGTCAGAAAAGTTTCACACCTATTTTAAAAGAAGCAAGAAAATCACAGTCCAAATAATAAGAATCCAAATTATTCTTCCTTCTGTTCCCTGAGTTTGTTCCCTTTGAATACTGTTTTGTAGAAGCAGATCAGAGTAGTTGGAAAATCTACTTTATTTTTATGCAGGTTTGTGGTACAATACACAGAAGGGCTGAGTATAACACGAGACCTGGAGAAAAAAAAAGATGCTGAAGAAAACGAGATTAAGTGAGTGTCCACTTCCTTTCAAAAAAGAGGCTAGAAGTGACTGCAACCATCCTCCCACAGCACACCTAGCAAATTAAAAAACAAGGCAGCTAATGAAGGAACCTTTCACAGCTGTGTTCCCTTCACAGTTACAAAGCTCAGCTGACAGAGGAAATCTGATCCCTTCAACAACTCAGGAACTTGTGTTGTGTGGGGGTAGGTAAACAACCTTGATAACAAGGGGTTTTTTGGAGTGTGGGTAGGGAAGCTCTCTTCTAGTATTACAAACTATGGCATTAAAATGAAGAATTTCTGTTCAGGAATTGTTAATTGCAATAAATGCTTCAGCTGAGAGTAAAAACTGTAGCCTTTTAATCCAGAAGGCCATGGACTATGAACATTCATAACAATCAAGTTTTGGCAACTAAGATTCTTGTTCATTAATAATACAGAACATCTCATGATGTGACTGCATCTCATGCATGGTGAAAGATATGATCCTGGGGTTAAAAGCTGTGGACAGTAATTTGGAAATGTCAATTCCAGTAATAGTACAGTCTCACTGCATATTTCTTCACTTCAAAAGACAAAGAGTCTTTGAAAGAGTGTGTAAGTATTCGGCTGTATAAGAATGCAGAGTATTCCACTGACCTTAAAACTACTAATAGTAGAAATATTAATATGTAAAGGAAAGTCAGCTTCTACATGAAGAACCTCCAGGGGTAAAAGATATATTGACCAAACCGGCCAGCAGTGACAGTATTAAAAGTCTCTTCAGGTATTCCACCTGCACAGCAAATATATTGGCCAGTTTCCTTCTAGATCCACCATAAGAGACCTACATTCAACAGCCTGGAAAAACCAAAGGGTAGAAAAGGTAAGGCTATTTTCTTCAATACTCTTTGGAGAAGTGTTTAAAAAAGTTTTGTAAGAGTGTATGTGTTTTAAAATAGTATTTCTAGAAACAGGATTTGAACACCACTGTGACACAGTGTATTTGTCTATAACTTTCCTTCTCTTTTCTCATCTCCTTCTGTAGTCTACTGAAAATTTCTTTTTACAAAGTGTCTCTACAACACCTTCCAAACCCTAGTGCTTTCGCACAATGGTGGGAAAGAGAAAAAAAAGTATAGTAATATCACCATCTTCATCTCTGCAGCAAGCACTCTAACACATCACACCAGACACATGGTAGTCTGTTCTCTCCACTGAAATACTGGAACAGCTACTGACTGAATGTTCAATTAGACCATCCTATGGACTTAAGGTGAAAACTTGGACATGCTGCAGGTAACTGCATCTTTGCTGCTACTTCATTAGGTCTATGATTTCATCTTTTATTTTTTAGAACACAAATGTAGAGAAAAACTTCTCTTTTTTCCAAAAAGTCCCTCCAAACCACAAATACCTTTGATAAATTAAGTTTTTCTTCTATTTTTCGTAGCTTAGCTTCTTCCCTCTGTTTGTCCAATTCCTCAAGCCACTTCTTCTGTTGCTCATGCTTCAAAGCACTAAAAGGTTGCTCCTGTGGCACAGCTTCCTGAAATAAGAGAAGTGCTAGTCTCTTCCTTGTACAAAAAATTCAGCACTTTGTCAAGCCACATAATAAAGACTTGGCTGAAAACTTTGCCTTCGGTTGCTACGCATAACTAGGCTGTTCTCTTGCACAAAAAATATGAATATAAGTTTGTAACTAGCGAGAGTCTGACTCTTCCATAAAAATGCTTCAGTTGTTAGGAAGATGCCAAATAAGCCAGTTTTGAATATTATTCTCACTTAAACCATCAGTCTCTCACTCCAAAAAACCTCTTACATGTATCATGAATAAAAATCCCTTCCTTCAATCTGTGTTCCAGGTAGATTGAGCACCATGATCTAATTCATAGTCTTAAGTAAATTCTAGATACCATCTTCATTCTTGTGTTTCTGCTTCTTAATGGACATCTATATTATTAAACAAACTCCAGGGACACCTAGAACTTTCAATGCTATCTGACAAAAAGCACTCTTCAATCAGTGCCTACTAGCAATAGCTCAAAAACTACTTGAACCTTCTGCCATCAATATGTTTTTTAGTTTTCTATTCCTGATAGGTTCCCACTTGTCTATTTCTTTAATGCATACTTAAAAGCTAATTAACACTTCATCTCACACCTCTAGTACTGCTCCACATCAGCCTTGAAAATGCTCAATCTTCAAAGCATCAATATTTTGATAAACATTAATTCAAACACAATTCTTTAGATAGGGCAAAAAGGTCTACTGAATTATTCTGGCTTAAAAGAACTACTGAAGATATACATCTGTTGTCAAGAAATAAAAAAACCTGCATGCAATTTAAAAAATCTTACCCCAAAAGCAAATGCTGTGCAACTGACAGCTGGTAAGTCAGAAGAAGTGAAATCAGAAGACTGTCCAGCTGGAGCACTTGAAATATTCAGGGGAACGTTATTAGCCCCTGTGGTTAAAGCAGTTGTACAGACACAGTTTTTCTCAGTGGCAATAATTGAGTCAGCTGGGAACACTGTCTGCAAATAAAGTGACCGCTTTAAGACTTGATTTATTTAGCTCACCGTTTTTGTTTGCATTAAATAAATAGCCTTTAACATATAAGTAAATTATACTTGTAGAAGCTGCTATTCATTAGAACTTCAGCAAAAACTTGTAACTGACCATCACATATCCAGTATTCCTTAATTATGCAGATTGAAACAAATTCTTATGGGGCAGAGTGGTAACTTTTCTAGGAATTCTGAATGCCACAATTGGCTTTTGCTGTAATAACTGATAGCATGTACCACCCTAACTTCTGTTTAACAGCAATCAATTTCACTGAAGAAGTCTCATCTGAGTATATTTATGTGCACAGCATTTTCAGAGTGACAGCTCTTTTTAACAGGCAGGTTAGAATAAAAGTCAAATTGCTATGCTCATTATTATGTAAGCCATCAAATATATGTGAGAGCTTATGAACACTGTAAGTGATTATATAAACAGGAATTACATTTAAGACTATTACTCAAAACAGAACCAGAAAAGATTTATACCTTTTAGTTAGGAATCAGCATGGAAGGACAGGAATGGGTTTTTCATGCTACAACAATCTTAATTTGTGAAGCTACAGATTGGAGCAATAAGTAAGTGTGAAAGAGAGAGTTGCAGCAATTCATGCCATGGAAGAGCTTAAAGTAACCACTGAGATTGGATTCCTACAGAAAGCAGAATCTTGTATGAATTAAAAGAGGAACTGTTCTGGTACAGTGCTGTGGAAACTGCAAGCTCTTTTGTGTTTATTTATAGCCTTACCTTATCTGGGTCAGGTGTTTCCACCTTCTCTTTATGGGTTTTATTATTGCCAGCTTTTGCCCAGAAATAACCCACCTCTCCCTTCAAAGTTTCTTTCAGTTTCTTCTTCAATGCTACCTGTTCATCTTCGAAAGAACAAACTCTAGTAAGAGTTCCTAATATAGACATGTAGCAGATTTTTTTAAAAAAAAGTAATGCATGTCTACCCTGTAATTTTGATTGTAAAATGGACAAGAGAAAGTCACCATTGTCTGACCAATCAGTCTAAAAATTACTTTGCTCTTAAGAGGACAGTGGCTGAATCTCTGCCCAGCGATGTGGAGGTAACTAAGGAATCTCTCTGAGAAGACTACAAAACACCGAAGGCTTAACAATATCCGGGTATAGAGGGAAATGAACAATAAATGATCTTAATTTTATGGACTACTATAATATTATTTAAACCAATGGAGCTACGCATGGAAACTCCAGACAATAAAGAATCAAACCTTAAAAGTTGAAAACAAAACACAACGCTCCTGCATGTGAATCATAAAAGGCTTAATTAGTCAGAATTTACTACTGCGTTAAAGATTTTTATTTTTCTACAGAGATTCCCCTTGGTCAGTGATGGGACAGGACTGCAAACTGTTTCAAGATCAAATTGCAATTTGATATATTCAGTCATGCTTGTAGATTAGGGTGACACTTTTCCCATTTAAAAACAAATGAAATTATTAATTATAATGGCTATCAACTATGAAAAGAATGTGACAAAATTGGTGGCAAGTAACTCCTAAAATATGAAGCAAAACTAATATATTTGGTTAAGAAGCATTTTTGCGAAAATTTATAGACAACACTTGCATAAAATTTTGAAATTCAAGAATCTTAATCTGTCTTGCAGACTATCAAAACTATGTACTTTCCAATTTGTAGCAACTGCACTAAGTAAATTTAAAAGAGCATAAGGAACACAAAGTTTGGCATCCTGAGTGTAATAAATTGATCAAAAATATATTCTGTATCTCATAAGTACCTAATTCCTTCTTCCACTGGTTTTTTCTAAATTCTAATAAGGCTTTCTCCCCTTCTCTTTCACCCAAGGTACTAAACATGTCAGCAGGTTTCCACGAATCCTTTCTAGAGAAAAGGAAGGGGAAAAAAATAATTTTACCTAAAAAGCTAATCTATTAATTTTAAAGGTAACTTTTTAATTAGTACTTACAAAGATTTTTACTGTGATTAAGAACTACAATATTTATTGGAGATACAGTTTTTGTAGACAGTAACAAACATCTACGTACATAACTTTCTGTTCTGGCTGCAGATATGCTTCTTGTTTCCTGCTTGAATCGGAGTTAGCTTCACCTGGAACAGATGAAACTTCACAAGTTTTTTGGAGCAGTGTGATAATGTTTTCCTCTGATGCCTCATTAGTAGCTGTGGTAGAATATAAATATATAAAAATATATAAATGTATGTACACTAAATTTTCTTCAGCATGAGTAAATATTTTGGGAACAGCAGCAAAGTGCAAAATCACCACTATTTAACAAAACTGCTTTCAGCCCTGGTTGTATAGTTAAGACACATAAGTTACAACTTCACAGGGTATTTTTAGAATGGTAGACTTACCATAAACACTTATTCTTAGCTAACAGCTCAGACTTTGGGACTCTACTTAATTGCAATGTGTTTAATTCTTGGTGGCAAAGAGTTGACCACCTTCATAGGTCCACAAACAGGAGTAAGGATATAATATAGGAAGATACACAATAATTCTTTTGCTTCTTAAGTAAATTGAAATAAAAACTCTTCAACAGTAGTATTACAGTTAGGCAAAAAGATACATGTACATCTTTGGGACAGAGGAAAATGGCACTACTGCTCCTGGGACACATAGCAGGACTTGGAACTCTTAACAAAACCAGAAGGGCCTGTATCTTTGAGGTACTGGGTAGGGTGCTGGTTTTTATTTCCAAACTAATGGTTACAGTATAGTGTGATTCTACTATGTTTTTTCCTCAGTGTAAAATGGTTAATTTTTTTGCATTAAATATTGGTAGAATTGCTTGCTATTTTTCTCTTCAAACTACTGGAATGCTATCAAGCAATCCTTAGTTTTTACTGTTAAAATTATCAAATGCTTGGTTTCAAACCGTAACAGGCAGTTTCACATCTATAATAGCAAACAGTATTTTGTCTGAGAGCATTAAACCTGAGTAACACCTCTGCAGCCTGCAAATAAACTTATGAACTTGAAGTTAAGCTTTCACATTTTGCTCTGTTTTCATGAAACAAACTTATTCAACTATCAGTAACTTACCCATTTTCTCTTGCTTTTCATTATGAGTCTCAGAGATGCTTCTAGTTCCTTCTTTTACAGTCATCAAAATCTGTTGAAGCTGTTCTTGTGTTAAACACACCAAACTTCTCAGGTCTTCAGCTGATACACATGGGGTTTGTGGTTTCTCTTTACTTTTTTTAACACCATCAGGATTCTCTGAATCAGGGTATCTGTTTGTGCTATCTCTTTGAAAAATCAAAGAGTGATCTTTAGCTGCAGCTTCATGTGAGGAGTGTTTAGTAACTTGCAGTTTTTCACCTTTTGTCATTGATAAGCTTGATTCACTCCTTGGTTTTGTTAAGTTTTCCTGCTTGAGACAAGCAATTTGTGTTGACCTCAGAACATGCCCCGTATGCCTTATTCTCAATGCCTGTTTAGGTGCTCTGGCTTTATTACCCATCTGTTAAAGCGGTAAGATTTCACCATGTATTAAATAAGGAAATAAAATTGCACAGGTAACAAAAGAAAACAAGATTGAAGCAACAAGTAAATGTAACTTTCCTTCTCTGTTATTATACATCAATAGAAACTAACTGAGTATAAACTAATGAAGTATCTTCATGAGTACTAGGAATATGTAGGAAGAGAATACAGAACCAAAATTCGAATATTTAAAAATGACAGCATGAAAAATAACTTTGTGGCATAACATTTAAAAGAATTAATAAACATTAATTCTGCTTCCCTTTGGTGTTTATTAAGCCTGGCTTCAAACAGGTATATGTTTTCACCATACAGCCAGTATTATTTCAGTCTTGATTCTTCCATTCTGTACTAAAGTTTTATCCCTTTCAAGGTCCCTGATGCATGCTTGTAATCATCTCCTATGTACTGAGACCTTTCTCTGCTTTCTCTCCTTCCTCAACCCACTACATTCTAGCTTACTCAGAGACAACCTATACAACTAAATTGGAATTCAAGCATGCTTCAGATCCCTATTTTACCAGATTCTTTAAGGTCTCTTAAAGTTCTGATTTAGGCGATTCCCCATGCTGCTGTAACTTCCTGGCAAACTAACTAAAGCAACTTGCAAAGGTAAAAGTCACAGAACTTTTAATTCATCCTTTTAACAGCTATTATGAACCTGAGAAATCACAGACTATCTCAGGTTGGAAGGGACCCATAAGCACAGATTTATCTTGCATAAATATTACTGATTACAAGTATTTAGTTCAAATGTGTTCTCAAATTTCAGTGTTAACAAATTAACTAGTTAATTTGTGTGCTCTAACCAAAAAAGTCCTTTTTCCACTTACCTTCATTGCAGGCTTTGATTTATCTTTTGGGAAACAAACACAAACATATGAGAGAAGTATTTAATAACAACTTCCTCCTGAAAAACAATCTTGAGAAATTAGTAGTTACATTCATCTAATTTTGTAAGATGGGGGAAAGAACCTTCCCTGTAACATCTGCCCCAACTAACACGCTTGAAAAGTATGCTGCAAAAAAAATTAAAGATATATTCCTGTAACTATTTCCAGTTTTATATAGATCTAAGAAAATTATTGTGCCAGTCTGATCCTCCCTTGCTATTAATTGTTTCTCAGAGAGCCCTGTGATAATGACTTTTTCGTAATTGTTTATTATGATTTTTCAGTTTGCTTTCTGTGTCACATCCTTCAGAATAGTGCCTGCATCCAACCCCATCATACCACGTGATGTTACCTGTCTCCATCACTGACAGCCTAAAGAAACAATACTTGTACAATCACACTATCCATTATTGTTCCCCTTACCTATGCCCTGAAATACTCTTAACCCAAATCCTAGAGGATGCATAGAGGTGTAGTGGTCTCAAAATTAAGTACTATGTTTAATACACTTATTAATATATAATATTACCATATTAATAGAGGCAATGTGGTACTCAGCACAAGAAATCCTGCACATATGGGTAATGGAAAAGGTGGAGAAAATAGTAGGGATATTTTAGGGGAACATATCTGTTGGAAACAAGGCTTTTTCAGCTGCACTCTGGAACTATTGCTCTGGCAGTGGCTGTTGCACATTCTGCACTGTACCTTTTTTTTTTTTTACATACCAATTAAAGACACTATAGAATGTTAATTGTTCTTAAAAGTCTGAAAAACCATATTAATAATTTCCAACCTAGATGAACATTTTAAAACTCAGGAGCATGCTGAATTGTTGTCCTGCAGAGACTGGCATTAAATCCTGAACCATCTGGCTTGTATTGGAAATAGTGTGACCAGAAGTAGGGAGGCGACAGTCCCCCTGTACTCTGCACTGGTGAGGCCACACCTTGAGTACTGTGCCCAGTTTTGGGCACCTCGATATGAGAGAGATCTCAAGGTGCTGGGGCGAGTGCAGAGGAGGGCAACGAAGCTGCTGAAGGGCCTAGAGAATAAATCCTGTGAGGGTGATTGAAGGAGCTGGGCCTGTTCAGTTTGAAGAAGAGAAGCCGAGGGGAGACCTCATCACTCTACATCTACCTGAAAGGACATTGTAGAGAGGTTGGTGCTGGTCTCTTCTCACAGGGGATTAGTGACAGAACGACAGGGAATGGCTTTAAACTGCAACAGGGGAGGTTCAGGCTGGAAAAAATTTTTCACAGGAAGAGTGGTCAGACAGTGGAATAGGCTGCCCAGGGAGGGGGTGGAGTCACCATCCCTGGATATGTTTAAGGGTTGTTTAGATGAAACGTTGGGGGATATGGTGTAGGGGAGAACTTTGTAGAGTAGGGCTGATGGTTGGACTTGGTGATCCCAAGGTCTTTTCCAACATGAATGATTCTAAGATCTTGATAATGTTTCACTAGTAAAGGTGTCTGCAGCTGTGTTTATCACAGGTTCTCAGGCATTCAACCCTCATCTGAGTAGGTGATAGTCACTTCATGACTTCTTTCTGGCTACTCAGAAATTAAAGTGGGATTCTATGTGCTATGTAAACCCAACTTCTCTATGGAAGGGAGAAAGAAACATAGATATAGTCTTTGCCATCACAGTGGGGAGATACATAATGTGGAACTCCAAAGTGCTGCTGATGGGTTATTTGGTTTTTGATACAACTATCTTGCACAGCTGCTTAAACTACTGCATAATAATCCTACTTCAGCTCCTATGACAGTGAGCTGTGTTTGACAGTGCAGAGAACTGAAATCCACAAGTAATACAATTTGATACAATTTTTGACACAATTCAAATCAAGGAAGAGCTGTTTCTATCAGTTGTACAAATATGTTAATTCCTGGACAAGACTACTTGTTCAAGGCTGGTTCAGAGTCTAAGGTCCTGCTTTATCTTACAGCACTCTGGTCCTATCCAGCCAGTGATGCTAACTACGGTTGTAAGAAGTGAAAGCTGTAGCACTGCTGTTTCAGAAGTGTTGCAACGTCTTCTTTCTAGTAGACTGGTATTTCTTACTCAGAACACCCCATAATGCCTCATTAGACAGCTGTCTGGTAAATGAAGAAACTTAAATAGGATTTAGAAGGCATTCAATGGAGAATTTCTGTATCCTGCTATGTAGAACAGTTAGGTAAAGTGGACTTGTGCTTGCATAGAAACATGTTTGACAAATCACAAAACCAGAATTTATTAATGCTTAAATTATGAACTTACACCGGAAAAGTTTTATCTCAGATGGCAGTAATGAGATCTGGCCTAAACAAACTGCTTATTGAAAAGTATAAACATCAACTGCCAAATACTAAAGCTGCTTTAAAGTCAGAAATGTGTCTGTAATGATGTAATTCTAGGTAAATTAAACAGCTTTACTAGGCCTCTTTTTTCCTTGTAAGTTTCTGCAAAGTTACAGAAGTCATAGTTATGCCAGTTGATATATAATAGTACTTAACCTTTCTTTAATGAACGGAGAGACAAGCTGTAAAGAGTCAAGACTAGTTGCCAGCTGTTCACCAGTGGACAGGCTATTTAGAAGTTCATTGTCAGTCTACTGTTCAGTATCAAGCTGATGAATAAGAGGAATAGCAATGCACAAATATTCTTCCTAGTATAAAAAATATTTCAGTAAAGCTGTGCTTCATGTTGCTTAGATCCTAGGTTTAATTTCAAGAAGCTTTAAAGATTACTTGAGATAAATGATTTAAAAAATACCAGAAGCAGCTAAAATTAGCCTAGGCTTTCCATCCAGCACTTCAGTTTCAAGCTTCAGTCCATCACTGCAAAATGAGAGAGAGAAAAGGGGAGGAATCTAAAATATTACATAATCTGATAATGTTAAGATTTTTACATTAATAACAAGGACAGTTGTACTTAATTATAACACTGCACATACTGTAGGTCCAGATGGTCTTTCATACCGTAACCTTTCTACATTTGTGAGAAGTTACTTAATAGGAAGAAACCAACAGGTGTTGAAGAGGGCTTATTTTTATTACTGACACTGGAGCATTTGGATTTGCATGTTACAAAGTAAATCCTCATGCTGAAGGTGCCACTCTGTTGCTATACATAGCAATACGCCTGCCTCAAGAATTTAATAATCCAACAATAAACTGCATGCTACAAAGAACGCTGAACAAGTCTCCCTGAATGCCAGCACTGATCACAAAGAGGGGCTGTATTCTCAAAACAGTCTTAATTATTTTCCTGCAAAACAGTCCACATTTTAAAGTGGAACAAACGTTATTACATGGGTTTAAAAAAAAAGAAAAAAAAAATGTTGGCAGTGTTTAGGTGCACGAGTGTAACTATCCAAATGCTTTTCTTTCTTCCATGCATTGAGAAAATCTAATAAGATTAAGGTTCAAAATAACGCTTATATTCGAGCTCATTAAAAAAATAAAAAATTAAGACATCTAAAGCTCGCACGCAACTTCCTAATTAACACGACAGCAACTGAAGTGCCTGAAGCTGTAACTCTAGACGTCCAAACGGCATACGGCAGCTAAGCCGAGCCCAGCGCCTGTTCTTCGTGGCCGCTTTGTGTCGGCGGGAGGCGGCGGGCCGGGACAAAACGAGCGGCCGACGGGTTCGGGCTGGGACTTCCCGACCTGAGGGAAGGCGACCGGCTGCGGCCCAACGCCGTAGGCCCCGCTCGCCCTAGGGGACGGCGCAGGCCGGTCCCTCGCCCCGCGGCAATACGGCGCTTCGTGTCCCATCCCCCTAAGCCGCTTTCCAGCCCCTGCCCGAGGCCCTCCCCACAGAAGCGTCTCCTAACCCCTCGGCTTTGTGACGCAGGGCGCTCCCGCTCCCAGCAGCGAGGCACTCAGCGCCTTTACCGCTGGTGGGCCGCGGGAGCCCCCCCAGAGCCGCGGCACTGGCTGGGGGTACCGCGGCCGGCCAGGCAGGCTCCCGGGC